ACTGTCGAACCCAAGAGTCTACATTATTTAATCAATGCTCGGTAACAATGCAGTTTAAATTTGTTCCTTGCTTTAGATTATTTAAAATCTATTTCTATTAACCATCAGGCGAATAGGCATTAAGCTTTACCTATTTTCTGTTTATTTTGTAGTGATTACTATTTTAAAAGATAGTTTTGTGCAGCATTTATGGTTCTGGTGTACTAAATATTATTTACACAAATCAAATTTATTGATTTGTCATTATCTTCTTAGGCTGACCGCACACTGTACGGGTTTTATCACTTTGGACACTGGCACTGTAAAGTAATGCAATCTGCTATAGATCAGTCGTAAACAGGTAGAGGAGCTCCTATTAATTTATATATTCGCTAATACCACATTCATATGTTATTGGTGAGATTGGCACTCACAATTGGTAGAAACAAATGACGTAATAACTAAATAAATACAAAATCGATTGATATCTAGAATCTGGAATCTGGAATTGTGGGGAGGGTGACTTAAAAGCTACAGCACTTAGGCCCTATTGGACCCTTGTACGTCCTGATAAAATGTGGAAATGGTAAGTTCTATAGTGGCTATTTTTATGTGTTGTCACACAGATTTTTATTTTAACCTTAACACACCATGTCCTGAAAATGAGCCAACAGGTGTACAGAAAATATTTTTAACGATTTCTATTTCTTTTAAAGATTGACCACTTTAGCCACATCCTCTGGATTAAGTACAAGTAATTTTATGTAAGACCACCACCCTTCTTTATTTGATCGTCAATGACATAGTATAAAAAGAAAATCGGTGAAATTCCTTCATTTGTTTAGTCAATCTTATGCAAATATATTACATAATATGTTTTGTGTTTGCAGTGATATTGTTTGTAGATGTTGCAAGTAGTACCTAACCTAACATTTTCCTGAATGAAGTATGCATCTTGTTTTTCTATTTTGGGTTTATGTTTAACTTGATCGAGCAAATTTTGAAATAAGAAAGGAATCATGTGCGAACAAAGGGTGTAAAATTCATTAAAATCTTATCCATGAGGAAATTAAAAAACTAACTTCGTTCGTGTTGTCCTAGTTTCTAGTGTGTGGTTAGCTTTATTAATACAGAAAGTCATAATATAGCCCGACAATGATACACAAGTTATAAAGGTTATAAAGACAAATTACCACAATAATCATACACATTGGCATGCATACCAAATGAGCTTTATATAGAAAATGATATATTATTCTTCATATCTATTATGCTTTGAAAACATACGAAAATATATACCTGAGAGAGAAAAATAATTTGAAATGAATGTGTTAACAGAATGATACCTATGTATTCAAGACCGTATACAAGGAATTAAATTAAGTACTTTTAGTAAACTCTCAATTACCAGATTTTGAATGAGAATTTTTGTGATAAAATTCCTTAATAAAATTCGCATATTTTTACATGATAGACACTGAAATTGATTTTCAAGCGCTTACAACACAGTTTATTTTATTAAAAAATCTACATTTGTTGCATATTTTATTGTGTTATCATTTACAAGCTGTTACAAATTCGTTTCTTACTACAGGGATCTCGGAAACGGAAAGAAACACGAATCCATTGAAGATTAATTTTTTCGAGACAAAACGTCTGAATCTGGTTCGGACTGAGTACAGTTTTGGGGGTCATGAAGGCTTGCAAAAAATGTAATATAATTCTCAGGGTCGTATTTCAAAAAATGAAGCTGATGATGATCCTGGAGAGACGAAATGTTACATACAAAAATTGATTATGCCACTCGATAGAGGGCAAAAAGTTGCCGTGAGAAAGTGTTCTTCTTTTTTCAATATCACCTCAAACAAGGCTGAAATGAAACAAAAGCTGATTTCCAAAATTTCGTTTTTTTTTTTCAAAAATTTCGAAAACTAATCATGTTAGCCTCGATTTTTTAGAAACATAATGTTGGTCCCCTGATTATGCAACTTTGCCCCCATTTAACCTACTTCGTATCTCTTACCGTTTCCGAGATTCCTGTAGCGAGAAGCGAATTTGTAACAGCCTGTATTCTATAAAAAAATTTGATCCACGAACCATTTATTTAAATATCTGCATTATGGTTAAATGGTTCTCTCTTTGCTTTACTTTATTAGTAGTGGTAAATTCAGGTAGCAGTTTTTTATTACAACAGGTGTTCCTGTTAGTTCCAAATTTATGGCACTCCTCTTATTAACTATCACCAGCTACAACACAACACTTCCTGAATTTCTCAATGGAGTTCCATTAATTTCAGTAATTGAATTGTCCTGTATATTGAAAATTACTGCATTGTTTAAATTGAAGTTAAGTTGTCATTTATCGGTGTTTGTATAAAAGCATTCATAAGTTACTTCAATTCTGGTAACGAGGTGTTATATTTTATTAATAAGAACTAACGTTAATATTAGAAGCGTGATGGCGAATTTTGAATTTTTTTTATTCTATTTTTAAGAAGGCAACATAGTTATTTTTCTATATTTAATAGTTTTTATTGACTCTCAAACTTAAAAAACAAGCCAGTCAAAAAGGATGCAATTACATCGTTCTAGGGCACCTGCATCCATGCGTATTTTCTGTTATTACTAGGTTTTTTTCGTAGATTTTGCCTCCTAATAATACCAATTAATAACATAGCTCCACAAAAAAAAAGTATGGATCTGGTATTCAGACCCATGTATTTTTTTCCGCTAAATCCGAATCTGCCTTCAGATTTGGCCCAACGGGTCTGAGTTTTCGGGAAATTAAAAAAAAAACGTCGAAATTCACAAAAAAACGTAATTTACGATAGACGAAAGTTATAAAAAATCAAATTATTCTACCAGCCCACTAGACGTATGATTTTTCACTCGTTTAATTCCAATTTATCATCATAGAGTCAGACAAGCTGGTCCAATTTCATTCAAAAACAGAAAATAGATCAAAATGCTTCTTAAACACGGCATCTTCATGGCATAATTCGTGTTGCAGAGTTTTGGATCCATCTTTTTATCCACCCACCCATTCATGAATTCATACATCTTTCTATCCAGTCGTTCATGCATGAATACGCATATTTGTTCATCCACCTGTACCACCTATAAAATCCACCCATCCACCCATCTATTCATCTACTTTTTGTACTGAGAGATGAGATAACTAGAAGATTGAGAATGCAATAAAACTTGTAGAATACTCTACTTTCTTAACAAAAGAAAACGATATCTACAAATTCTTATTTTTGTTGCTATAACGTGTTCTCATTTCTTCAAAGGATCTATGCAAAGGCTTACGCTTTCGTTTGGTCCTTCTATTTTTCGTTTCTCTTTTTAACAACCAACAAAAATCGACCACCCTGTTTTCATCCCATCTTCCTTGATATCATTGTTCTATAACCTTCATATCCTGATGACATCGTTCGCCTTGGTTTCCTAAAAAATTTGTCGCTACAACTAGTCTAAGCACTCATGCTACCCATTGTAGTGATGAATGTTGCATCCTTGAACAATATCCTAATCTGAGGTCCATTGAATACACCTTCTTTCAATTTCGCCTCAGAAGTATTCGGAAAATTTCGACCTATATAGGGCGAAAATTTTTTTTAGGAAACAACAAGAGTCCTAAATACGAAGAAATTGGATCGAAAATGACAAAAGACTTCCAAGATCTGGGATGTTTGATGAACTACAAGTTGCACTTCCTTCATTCACATCTGGATTGGTTTCCTGAAAATCTTGGAGATTATAGAGAAGAACAAGGCAAACGATTTCATCAGGATATAAAGGTTATAGAACAACTATATCAAGAAAGATGGGATGAAAACATGATGGCCGATTTTTGTTGGTTGTTAAAAAGAGAAACGAAAAATAGAGGGACTAAACGAAAGGGTAACTCTTTGCATAGATCCTTTAAAGAAAAAAGAACATGTTATAGCAACAAAAATAAGAATGATTTGTAGATATTGTTTTCTTTTGTTTAAAAAGTAGAGTGTTCTACAAGTTTTATTGCATCCTCAATCTTCTAGGCTGTTATTTCATCTCTCAGTCTCTCAGTAAAAAAGGTAGAAGGATAGATGGGTGGATGGGTGGGTTTTATAGGTGGTGCAGGTGGATGATCGAAAGAAGTATGAATTCATAAATGGGTGGGTGGATAAAAAGATGGATCCAGAACTTTGCAACACGAATTATACCATGAAAATGGCGTTTTTATCTATTTTCTGTTTTGGACCAGCTTGTCTGACTCTATGATGATAAATTGGAATTGAGCGAGTGAAAAATCATTCGTCTAGTGAGCTGGTAGAATAATTTGATTTTTTATAACTTTCGTCGATGGTAAATTACGTTTTTTGTGAGATTTGACCTGTTTTTTTAATTTTCCCGAAATGTCAGACCCGTTGGGCCAAATCTGAAGGCAAATTCGGATTCAGCGGAAAAAATACATGGAAATCAATGGGTCTGAATACCAGATACGATACTTTTTTTCTTTGTGGGACCGTGTAATTATTTGATTTAGTACTAACTGAAATTGGTAAAAAGCAAACTAAATTATAATGAAATTGTGAATTCTTGTAGTACAGTTCCCGATCATTTTTTCCAAACCAATAAATGGAATACTGCATACATACTTCAGTTGGCTGTTTTATCATTTCAGGTGTCAGTCAAACGAACTCATTTATAAAACAACGTTAAACTGACCCTTCCCACAATTTACTGTTAAAATTCTTGTTATACAATTCAGCATCAAAGGCAGTCAATAATATTTCTGGAATTAATGAAAGGAGTAGTAGCGATAACAGAGAATAAATGAAATTGAACCGAAACAACTTCATTCTACGTTATTATATTATTTAGATATAGTTAAAGGTTGGAATTAAGTATCAGTTATACAGATCGCTGCGCACAGTTACATATTACATAATAAAGGCTTGTTAATATTAACGATCTACCTTGCGAGATATTTTATAAACATGTTTTTATACCTATAAAATATACTCTCATACTTACTAACAAGTGAAGCTTTTTCAGTAGGTACATGTGTTGACTCACCTGAAAGAAAAGAGTATATATTAGACTAGCCTCAAATTAATGTACCAGAAAGTGGATATACATATAGTAGTTAATAATTTTCAGTTATATAAGTCATTTAAACCGGATCAACAAAAACGACAAGACAGTTATATCTAACACAAACATGTGTTGCTCAATTTTAGTAAATAATTTCAAAAATGGACGTCATTGAATAGAAATCTATGCGTTTACTAAAAAATAACATTGAGAATAGACGCGAAATTATAAAAAATTTTGGTAGCATGATTCGTAGAATAACTGCCGTTACTTTTGTTGATGATGAATACAAATATAAAATTCTACTTCTTGTTCATCGAGGACCAATCGTACTAGATGAAATAGCACAGTAATAATTAAACAATATATAATATGTACCTTAGTGTAGCATTGTTTTGTTTAATATAATTTTGACTACAATATAATTTTTAAATCTATTGTTACTATAATAAATAATAAAGGATTTCAAATGGAAGTACGATCACATTATGTGCTTCGAGAACAACCAGTCTGTTGAAATAATAAAACAGACGGATATTAAAATAAAGTTTTAGGGGACAAAGCTTTACGAGGAATTGTAGACGAGCTGAATATTGAACCGAACCTGAACTGCAATTTCACTTGACGCCATTTTAAAATAAAATAAGTTTTTCACTTTCAGAGCAACGTGCAAACACAAAATGAATTCCCGAAGAATTCCTTTGGATAATTCATCAGCGACGATCGTTAAAAGTGATTCGTCTAATAGCACCTTAAGGTACTGTCAAACAGACAACTTTTTTAATAATTTGTAGTTATGAACTACAAATTAAAGACATATTTACTTTAAACATAAACTAAACAATATGTAATTTAAAATAAGTAAGAGCTACATAATTATTTTAGTTAAATCTTTTTACGTTTAACAAAGAGAGTAGACCGCCACACATTCTAAATAATAAAGTATAACAGATTCTCCCGCGCGAGCTGGGGTTATACGAAGTATAGCACAAAGAATATCTCTATACATTGAAAATTCATACGTTATACTCGTTTGCAACCCGAGATGTTCCCATAACACGGTTTTAATAAAAGAGCAGAACAAAAATGATTTCAAGGATATAAAAGATGTCATCTCCTACAGGTTTTTTTTTTATCAACAGTGTTCTTTAAAGTTCCACATAATGAGGCGTGTTTTAATATTATGAATCATAGCCTTAGTGATGTTGTTAAATTCTAAAGTTCAAAGGGGATTTTAAAAACCTACAACCATTTTAAGATACACTGTAAAAAAATCGGTGTGAGTGAAAGCAATAAAGGTACGGAGTGAATCTATTAAGGGAAGTTATTGAGTACATTTTCACTCAGTATTGGGCATTTTGATCGTTTTGCTCATTTGTGATTATATTTAAACTAAAACTAAGTACTTTTACTCAAATATAGGTAGTCCCGTCAATAATTATTGTTAATTTGCATATCGCCACGGTAGCGTAGTTAGTCGAGAGTGGCAAGCATTTCTCGGCCAGACTTCCTATTCTGGTCCGGGTTCGATCCCTGGCGTCGGCATCGAGTGGCAATGTCGATGGATAATGGGTGTTTGTTCACGTTTTTTCAAGTGTAGCTCCCTTCCGCACAGCCTTTGGCTTTTGTCTTATTTCTGTGGTGTATTTTATGTTTTATGTTTATATTTAATTAAATTGACGTAGTTATATTCATCACGTAAGGACTATAAACAAATGGTCTCGGCAACTAGTGATAGCTTCAGCTCTATTTGATGATTACGGGCATGGTTTGGGTTTTCGTTTTTACATTGAAGGCAAATAAGTGGACCTCTTTATATACATTAAAAAGTATCACAAGCAGAAATGACATTATAAAAAAATGGACTAATATTAAAAATATGGCAACAATTGTTATTCCACATCTCGAACGAATATAAATTCCGTCTTCGCATTAAATTATATACCCAATGAATAATATATATAATATATATAACATATAATTATATATTATATACCCAATGAATTGTCGAAAATCTAAGGGAGTTAATAGTTTGTATAATGTTCTATGCTGAACCCATTTTGATTACGTTAATGAAAAATGATGATTACTGGAAATAGCTCCACGCAGTAGACAAAGAAGGATCCTAAAACTGATGACTTGTAACTATAGGCCTTCTGGAAAGCTTTTTCAATTTAATCTAGTCAAGATTATTGCGTAGTCGTTGGCCTCTACTAATGTAATCAACACAGTAGCAAGACGTAAAAACGTTTCGAGCTGAAAAACGTAATATAAGTATATGGAAGTGTTAAAGATCAAACATTCAATGAGTTACAGAAAAAATAATTGAAGGAGGATAATTATATTGCGGAAAAAAAAAACAAAAACTAAAGAAGGGCGGCGAGGTTATTCAGTGCTTTCATATACATCAAAATTATAAATTTGCACAAAGATATTAATACACGAAAATATATTTTTTGGTTAATACAATACCATTGGGAAGAATTATTTACACAAGAGAATTGTTGCTCTTTCATTATGTTATTTACATTTAACCCATCTTTTTACATTTTTAACATAACACGTAAAAAAATTGAAACAAACATGTTAAAGTATCTCAGAACATACAGTAGTCCGGTCAAATTAGTCATAAAAATAGTGGTCAAATAACGGAAATTGCGACAGAGCTAAATTTTGGTGGAGACCTTGGGTAACACCATTAGAAATAAAGTGTAAAAAGTCCCCATCGATCCCATGTGTGCTAAAAAAGTTATTCGGGATCAAAGGTCAAAATTTGAGGTTTTTTGTTTTTGATGTTTTATCAAAAAAGTAGCCCGGACAAAAATTATTGACCTTAAAATTATCTACAACAATGGCCCTTACACTTTTTTTTCTAAGAATCATCATTCCTGAGATATCGCGATTCTAAAAGTTGAAGAAGTCACGATCTACATGATATGCACGTATATGTATGCCACATAGTCAGTAAGAGAAGTAAAAATGCCTATTTGTGTCTCTTATATGTATAAACTATACTATTCTGAGAATATACACTCAAAAAATCTCAGTCCCTTAGTCAATCCCCTCTACCTGAAAGGCCTTGAATAACATCTGGCTACTAAAAACTTTTGTAAAAAATACACGAAACAAGGAACAAGGACAACTATCTTGTCTTCCTCCAACATCGGCTTTTGCTAATCAACACTTGTATCGAGTATACTATCAAATTGACAGACATGGCTAGGGAATCAACTGAACCCAGAAGACTGGGGTTGGAAATTAACAGATAATACTTCGGAACCGATTCAACTTTACTCCCACCAGCTCCGCCAAAACTCCTAAACACCATTTTTTGCAATTGCAAAAAATGTTGTAGTGCTAAATGTGGCTGTAGAAGAGTAGGATCACTGTGTTCTCCAGCGTGTACTAATTGCCAGAGCCAGTCTTGCTCAAATGTCCAATTGAGTATAACAGACGAAAATTCATGTGATTTCGATGAAGAGACAGCTGATTCGCCTTCATTTGAACAATTTATGAACATCCAGCAAGGTGAAGAGGAAGAAGAAGAAGAAGAAATCGAAAAAGACATGACTGTTGAAGTTGCCTTTGAAGAGTATGAATCAGATTAAAATATCAGAACTACAGTTAAATTCAATAACCAATATCAATAATCATTATGCAGTTAAAAGAATATTGTCCCTGAAAATTCCGTCATAACAGTTCGTGGAGTAGGCCTGCAGGGGAAACCACGTTAAAAAAACCGCGCCAAAGTACACTACGTCACAGGTGGTATGGAAATGTATGCATATCATGTACTCGTAGAACGTGACTCCTTCAACTATTACAATCGCGATATCTCAGGAATGGTGATTCTTAGTAAAAAAGTATAAGGACCATTTTTGTAGATAATTTTAAGATCTATAATTTTTATCCGAGCTACTTTTTTGATAAAACTCACCGTCTTCGAAAAAATCCAAAAAACCTCAAATCCTTTGACCCCCCCGAATAACTTTTTTAGCACACATGAGATCGATAGTGTACCCAAGGTACCCAAAATTTAGCTATGTCGGAATTTTCGTTATTTGAAATGTCTATTTTGACCGGACTAACAGATATTCTTTTCTAAAACCAAACCTCAATCTTCTATCTGTCCTTGTTTTCCTTTTCTTTGATTTTCTACCTATTTTATATAGATATTTTATATTTTTCTATAGAATATGAAACGAGACGGAAAATATTGACTAAAATATTTTATTTGGTAAAATTAATCTCGAAATTTTTCCATCAATCAGTACATTATACTTATTTTTTTAGCAAATCCATCCCAGTAATTTTTTAGTAAATTGTTCTACATCAAGTAATTCTTAGAGTTCAATACATACTTTCTTTTAGACCTGCCCATTAGAACTTTGTGTAAAAAACTGGAGTATCAACTACTTAGAAATATAGCACAAAATTGTATTAGTCATCAAAAAACTACAAAATTGTAAATAGGTACCTAGAAATGTGCAACTTGTAAGAATAAAGGAGCATACGAAGATAGCATTTATTCAACATAGTAACTAGATGTAAAAGTTTTATATCTTCTTGTGAAATTAGTAACTATCAATTGTTTTGAAAACATATTGGCTACGGACTGGGTCTTCACAAAGTGGGTTTAATATATTTTCTGCAATCTGAGATGTCTCTCTGACTAAAATTGAATTATTAATCCACATCCCTATGCATGCTTTGTAAATCTCAGTAAATATTAGATGTTCTAAAAAAATTCCCATTGGTATACACAACTAAACCCCATGTGTCTCTCATTTGATACAAACTGTCTATAGAAAACAAATATTTAAAATTTTTTAACAAGACATCCTTTCTAACTTGTGGATATCTGTAACTTACCTCATCCCAAGTCTAAAATATTACGTCTACGTATTATCGTATATATTACTTACATAAATTGCTAAATCACAATAAAAAACAATCGCGAGTGTGGCTCTGTCACTG